TGGCTTTGCACAGAGCAGCCTAGAACCTGCTCTTCTAGGGTCCCCCACAGGTTCTCCTGGCTCCTCCTGTCTGTCAGGTGTGCCCCCCCACAACAAGCAGCTTGCTAAGGGGGCATCCGCTGCTCCGTGTGTCCATTCACACACGGAGCCATGTCTTCGCCCTGCCCCCTCTCTTTCCTCATTGGCTGATTGGCTGTGATTGACAGCAGTAAGAGCCAATGGATCCAGCTTGCTGTCTCTGCCAATGAGGAGGCAGAGACCCATGACAGATGTCATTCACATCGCTGGATCGCAATGAGGCTGAAGTAAATATTGAGGGGGCTGGGGGCACGGCTGCACACAGAAGGTTTTTTTACCTTCATGCATAGAATGCATGAAGGTAAAAAAACCTTCAGCCATTACAACCACTTCAATATACAGTATGTGCTGACTGAAACCAAGTTGTACATACTATGCTTTTCCTGTAAGTGAAAAAACATATTGAAGTAATGCAATACTTCTGTTAAAAAGGTCTCCAGAACTGTCATAGTTGGCTGCCCACAAACGCAGGTGAAGAGGTCACAATCACACAAAGAAACTGTTGTAAAGCCTGCTAAATGACAGATTGGTTTGTGCTACATATACCTGATTGGTTATTTGCTTGATAAATCAGGGTTTCAGTGTGATTTTGTCACTTTGTGCAATCAGTGAAAGTTTAAAGAGAATTATGGGACTAAAGGCACAAAACGTCCTTCTGGAGGAGAAGCTTTTTAATCACAAGTAAAGCCCTCCAATGTGAATCACAGTTTTTTAATATCTTGCACAGAAAAATCCATTTTATTGCCAAATGACCTCTCTGCTCTCTTGGCAGATTTGATTCCCAGTCACGAAATTGCCTAAGCGCACTACAACTTCAGCCATATAAATATATAAAAGAGAGAAAGAGCACTTCACAGTTAACTACTGCACAGAAGTGCAATGTTACATGGTTTACCGCTTTATCAAAGCAAGAGCTCGTCTTGCCAATCAACTGTTGTAAAAAATGACGAGTAAATGCACGACAATCAGCACACTACACCATGGCTTTTCATGGCAACACTGAAAGCTCTTGTGTCCATTTACTACAGTATATTTCCTCAAATCCAAGCATACCCATTTATGAGTATGGAAATAATGTACAGTAATTCACATGCTGAAGAATACTAACCTATAAAAATAACAAGCTTAGATTTTTTTTTTGCCTCTGAGGCTGAGGCAACATGCAGTCCACAATGCATTGCAGTGCTTTTCATTTTAACAAATGCTGTAAAAAAGCATTAGAAAAGTGTCAAAATTCCTTATCCCTGGGGGTGTGGTTTGCCTATGGCCCAGACAGGATGTGTATGAAAACTCTAAACAGATTCTATGTAGGGGAATCCACTACCATTGCCCTTTGTTCATTAGCTATGGGACGCAATGAGATGAGGAAGAGCCCAAGCTGACTATTTCCACTTAGGGCATAGTAGGTGGAACAAGATATAGCTGCAGGGCATCCATCGGATCTGGTCAGATCACTTTTCTCGCTTTTTTTTCAAAGTGATCTCAGGCATAGCTAAGCCCTTGGCCACTTGGAGACTTAAAGGGGTTGATTTAATAAAGGCAAATAGACTTTTCACTTTGCTAGATAATTTTTTCCCAAAGATTAGTGAATGAGGTGAAGCTCTGCTGACTTGCATCATCCAATCATGTGCAAGAAAATGTGCTTTTTTTTTCCTTACACATTCTTGGACATGGTTTGCAAATGTATTGTTTGAAATTTCACCTCATTCACTAAACAGGCCTTGTCCTTTGATTAAACCTTCACTGGTCTTGTATCTTTGCGATGTATTAAGAGGGTACAGGTTCAGACATTCCAGTGTCCATAGAAATCACTCTCCTCTTTATAATCAAGGTTCCATCTCTATGTCCAAAGAAAAGACCTTTTTCATTTCTTTCCACTAGCTGCCAGCTAGGACAGTCATTATTAGATAATTACTACAAAACTACATATACCCCAGATATGAAAGAATGTCTCTCTGAATCCTCCCACCTCCAACATATGAATGAATTGACTGCCTAACTCTGCCACCATTACACTACATACATGAACACATTGGGTTAATTTATTAAACAAACAGGCTGTTCGCTTTGCAAGGGAAGTTGCACTTTGCAAAGAAATTTGCCCCAGAGCTTATTGAATGAAGTGAAGTTGTGCTGACTTCCATCACCCAATAATATGCAAGCAAACACGTTACTTTCCTTGTTTTTCTTGCATGTCACTGTGTATTCTTTGTAAACCAACCCCATGGAGTATCTGCACAACTTAACAATATTTTATTCATTTATTTCAGGTACTTATATAGCGACGTCAATTTACGCAGCGCTTTACATACATATATTGTACGTTCACATCAGTCCCTAACCCTCAAGGGGTGTACAATCTAAAGTCCCTAACTCACATTCACACATACACATATTAGGGCCAATTTAGACAGGATCCAATTAACCTACCAGCATGTCTTTGGAGAGTAGGAGGAAACTGGAGTACCCGAAGGAAACCCACGCAGGCACAGGGAGAACATGCAAACTCCAGGCAGGTGGTGCCATGGTTGGGATTTGAACCAGCGACCCTAGTACTGCCAGGTGGAAGTGCTACCCATTTAGCCACTGTGCTGCCCAATATCCTGCAGTAAAGACAAAAAATGTACAAAGCCTCTGGAGTTCCCATTTCTCTCATTCTGGGCACCTGGTGTTACCTTTCCTAGACTCTTTCCCCACTCCCCACCACCTTTTCTTTCCTCCCCCTTCCCTTATCCTCTCTTCTGTTCTATTCGTCTCCCCTACCTATTCACGTTCTGGTCTGGAAGGTCTGTAACACTTTCCCTTGGATGGCCTTTTCTGTAACATTTACCGAAGCTTATGATGACTCAGAATCATGGATTTTTCAACTATTGTATATTTGTCTCATCACATTGCATTGTACTTTATTGTCAAATACTGCTTGTTTATCTTGAAGCAATAGCAGAAGGTGTGTCCTCTCTGAAAAGGATGCCATTTCTATATTAAAAAACTAAATAATTCTTAAAAATCCTTATTGCTATACCTGTTCAGGGTCAGCAACTTTTTTAAAAATGATAATATAAATTATCAACCCAACATCAGCCCGAATACATATCAATTTACATTGGTTTCTTTGCTTGCAAATGCCTGTTTTCCAATTTATCTAAAAGGCCAATAAGCTACAAAAGAAAAAAACCCTGGGGGCGTGGTCTGCCGCGGCTGGAAGATGGCCGCATAGAGAGGGAGCTCCCGCTGGCCGGATCCCTCTATATCGCCACACAACGGAGCGGGGTGAGAGGGAGCTGTCACGTCATGGGGAAGACTGACCGGACCTCATCCGGTGCCCGTCGCGCTCCCCACGGGGCCAGGGTGTGCAGGGGAGACACATAAAGGAGCTCTTCCGCTCCCAGCAGCAAAGGGAAGGGCCGCAGACATCTCCTTCTCCTGCTGCATCCCCCTCCCCCCCCTCTCTACGGCTGCTGACACAATTAACCCTCCCTGCTCTGACATGCAGGCAGCTCCAGACACAGTGCCTCAGCATGATGTCCCCTCTGCCTCACAATCTCTGTCCCTGAGGGATCTTCAGGCTGTGGCCGCTGACATTAAGGCCACCCTGACAGCCACACTCACTGCAGCATTAGGGGATCTGCATAATGATTTAAGGGCCATGGGTTCACGATTGGATCACGTGGAATCCGCATCCAGGCAAAACTGGTTCCGCAATTCTTGATTTACAACATCAGTCAACGATACACGCGTCAACTATCAGAGAGCTCCACAGGCATATTGAGGATTTAGATAACCGTGGCCGCAGGCGTAACATCAGAATCCGCGGTCTCCCAGAATCAGTAAAAATACCGATATTCCCAAGGCAGCAATGGCCATATTCAATAACCTCCTTGGTCGCCCGCAAGCAACCCCGATTGACATCGAACGTGTGCACAGAGCGATCCGCCCCAGGAGGGGAGATGCAGACCCACCCAGGGATATCGTTTGCTGCCTTGTCAGTTTCCCGCTCAAAGAAGATGTCCTCCGATGTGCTAGAGACAGAGGGCGCCTTTTATATGAGGGGACAGAAATACAACTGTTTCAGGACTTATCTAGCACCACCCTGCGCCAACGGCGCGCTTTACGCCCTCTTCTGGACACGCTCCGATCGCGTAACATTCCGTACAGATGGAGGGTTCCCCTTCTGTCTCTCTGTACAAGTTAGTGGCCGTTCTTACAACCTGCAAACCCCTGAAGAACTGCCCTCTTTCTGTGCCTCCATAGACATCCCGCTGATTGACCTGCCTGATTGGTTCAGCTCCATGAGATTGCCGCTATCCCAGGATTTGGTAGCCGAGGATAGTGCTATGGATTGGCGCGGTCAGTCTTCTCGTAGAGGGCGGATGGCCCCATCGACCCCTCCGAGACCCCTCATGGGGGACGCCACGACTACCTTCAGTCCGACGGCCTCTCCAGCACACAGGAGGCCAAGACGCGAAACCTAATGGTCCCTGTTCTTCCCTCAACATTGCTACTTTGATGCATACCCTGCTGAGTATTTACGTTCTACTGTTACTGCACACCTTTTTTCGTCCACCCGCCCCATATGTTTCAGTTGCGCACTTGCGCTCTCTGATCAATGCTCGTCGGACTCCTACTTTACTACCTTTACTACTTATCCGTCAAGATTGCAGCCTGTGATTCATGGAACTTTCTGTCACTGCCCTATGCGCAAATAGTGGGCCTCCACAGTTCCTTCATGCCTTACAAGGGGTTGGGAGTTGGCCACATTCTAGCTGTCTCGTCCTCAGGAATGGACTGGCCAGCAATGGTGGGACTCACCTGCTTATGAGCTGCATACCAGGGCTGGCCAGCGGGTGCTCCCAGCAATCAGAGACTCAACCTTGCAGCCAGTCAAACACCTGGAACTGATTATACTGGTGTATTTAAGGGATGGCCAGACCTGCAGACTCAGCCTTGGTGTGTGTTTTTCCTGGGCCCTGTATCCTGTTCCTGCATCCTGTTCCTGTCCTTGCTTGCTGACCCTGCCTGACCCTGGCACCTCTGCTGACTGCTCGCTGCTCTGCTGCTACCTCCTGCTCTGATCCCGGCTCGTTCCTGACCATCCCTCTGCCTGACCCTCTGTACCACGCTGCCCGCTACCTGCTGAACCTGGCTTGTGACCCCAACCATTCTCCGCTTGCTCCCCCTGTACCTACCTGCCCGATTGATATTGACCCGCCTGCCTGACGACGCTTGCACTGTATGTACTGTTATCTGTGGGTGGTTTGGTTTGGTTCGTTTGCACTGTGTTATGTTTTAGTATTGCACTGCGTTTATGTTTGTATTGTTAGTGTTAATAAATTATATTGTTTATAACATATCTGATCTGAAGTCTGCGTTTCCCTGCGTCAGTCACACACCTCCTCTGGTCATACAAGATTGCGGGGAGCCCTGACACTCGTCCTCATGCCTTACAAGGGGTTGGGGGGACCACAGCTGTCTCGTTTTGGGCAGTTTTTGCCTTACTAATCGTCACCTAGTCCTCCGCACTCCACAGCGAGTCCTCCGCCTCCAGTTGGTTATCGATTGGTGCCTTCTCCTAGCCTTCTATTTCCTATTACCATCTGGAGGCATCCTGGGCGATGAACGTCCTCCAACATCGTCTTACTGGCAAGCTCTGAACTTCGCCCTCACATCTTTGCGGACGTCCTGCTGCTCGCTTGGAGCTGTTCGGTGATGAATTGTTCGCCCCCCCCCCATCCTCTCCGTGGACATTGGAACGCTTGGCCTTCCCGATCCTCTGGAAGTGATTTCTGCTCAATTTTGTAATGTATAATTTCTGCGTGAATATGTTAGTGTCTCTAAATTTCCACCGGGGGGTGGTTTTGAGGGGAGGTGGTTATTGTATGCGGGGGCGGATACTTTTTTTTTTTCGGGGAGTGTAAATGTTCGTTATAGTCAGTGGAATCTGATTGTGTGGACGAGCATCACCTCTCCCCGCTACTGGCTAGACATTTCAGAATGGAACCATGTCATTCTCTTCAACCCGGCTTTTACTTGGCCGAAATGGCATACCTGAGGGCCTGTGTGCCTTTGATCACTCCCATGCTCACTTCCCTCCTCCTCCTCCTCCCCACCCCTCCTACGCCATTCCGAGAGAGGTGATGCTCGTACCCTTTTTGTTTCCCTGGGGACGCTAGCTACTATCTTTGTGTGGGGGGGGTAGGGGGAGGGAGGGTTTTCTATGTCTTATTTAGTCCCCTTGATACTCATATATTTGTGGGATGATGACGGGCCTTGATCTTAGGGGGCTTCATTAGTAACGGCTGAACAGGGGCTTATTGACGTTTTATCTGTTTTTGTCATGCTCATTCATGTTTTGATATTGTTGACTTGTTATGTTTGTGCCTTGTGATGTGGTTTGCCTGTAATATGTGCAGGGGTCTTCCGATATTCTCCGTTCAGTGCGGTGCCCCTTTACTGTCTCGCGCCCACCTTGGCGTAGGCTGCTCTTCCCAATGCGGTCACTCTGTAAGTGCCTTACACTTATTTAATACTAAGCGTAGCTAGACCCCTCGCTCGGCAACATTTCACGTGTGATACACCTACTAAATTTGCCCAGGTCTTCTTCCTCTGCATGTCACATACCACTTCATCTCCCATGGAAGACCGGTACCCCAACCTTTATATGCCCCACCCCTGCGGACTTCTGACACCACTTACTCTCTCAAACCCCCCCCCCTTGTTCTTGCCTTTTTTTTTATAATTTCTCATAGGGGGCTACCGGGCCGGCGGATGCGCACTTCCTGGTTTCACGCCGACCTCGTTCCCCACACAGTGAGCTCGGCGAGCTTCCACTGACCCTTTTCTTTCGGCTTCTATCCGTATCTTTTTTCTGAGCTTCTCTTCTTTCTTTCTGCTCCTCTTCCTTTTCCCCGACCTTTCCCCTCTTCCTGTTTTCTTTCTCTCACGTGGAACAGCGGGTCTGTTCCTCTAGCCGTATATACTATCTATATTTTTTTTTTTTTTTTTTTTTTTTTTTCTCTTTCCTCCCCCCCCTCCTTTTTCCCATCCCCCGGATCCTCGGCATACCGAAGCCCCGGACTCAGGCTCCGCCTTCCAACAGCCATGCTTTCTTCCGCCTCACAGACGGGACAACTGTCTCTGAAACTCCTTTCACTTAATGTCAAAGGTTTGAACATACCCGAAAAGCGTTCCATGCTCCTCTCTTACTTACACAAACAGAAAGCGGATGTGGTCTTTTTACAAGAAACGCATCTTCGCCAAGACTCCATCCCAAAGCTTTACAATTTCTACTTCCCCACGGTCCTCCACGCCGCCAACCCCCTGGCTAAGTCTAAGGGGGTTGCAATACTGTTCGCCAGACACCTCCAGTTTCATATAACGGATTCCATGGTGGATCCTGAGGGTAGATACCTGTTTATATAAAGGGAGTATTCGCTAACAGACCTATCACATTCGCCAATGTCTATGCCCCCAATGTTCAACAGGTCTCCTTCATGCGCTCAATCGTCTCTGCCCTAGCCGCTTTCCAGGAAGGGTTACTGGTACTTGGAGGCGATCTGAATGTCCCTTTGAGCCCTCTGCTAGACTCCTCCTCGGGAAGTTCTTTTCTACCCTACAAGGCTCTCAGGCAAATACATATACAATTACAGCTTCTACAATTACATGACACCTGGCGTACACTTTACCCCACTGTTAAAGATTATACTTTTTTTTCCCCACCACACAATAAGTATTCTAGGATAGACTACTTTTTTTTGTCGCAACCAGATCTCCCTCTCCTCCATGCTGCTACCATTGAACCGATGGTCCTTTCCGATCATCATCCCATCTCCATGACGCTACGGTTCCCCATCTCGCACCCGCGCTCCAAATACTGGCGTTTGGATGCTTCCCTTCTTACGGATGCCGCTATTGTTCAAGAGCTCCGCTCTAATATGGCTGAATATTTTTCCTTGAATAGCTCGTCAGACACCTCACCCATCACACAATGGGAGGCCCACAAGTGTGTCATACGGGGTAGCCTCATAGCCCTTGCGACGAGACGTAAGAAAGCCAAACAGGAGCGTCTGAAGCTCCTCTCAGATAGGATCCGCTCTTTGGAGAGAGTACACAAACGGACTCTGGCTGCGTCGACCCTTTCGGAACTCACGCATGCACGCACACAGCTTCTCACGGAACTGGGTAAAGTGGTTAGAAAAAGATACATTCTTACACATAAGCTCTATTACGAGTTCGCAAATAAGAGCGGGAAATTTCTAGCAAGAGCTCTTCGGGAGAAACGGGCTAGTATGACGGTTCATAAAATCAGAGGCTCTGATGGCATTGAGGCTACATCCAACCCCGATATTGCCGCCCATTTTGAACGCTACTATAAATCTTTGTACAACCTCCCTCCGGAACGTCCCCCCATACATTCGGACAAATCTAGAACTACCTTGATCTCTGAATTTCTCCATCTCTACGGTTCACCCCGCCCTCTCCGAGGATCTGGTGCACGCTATGGAAAATGATCTCACCCTACTTGAACTGCAATCCGCAGTAAAACAGATGAAACCGGGGAAGAGCCCGGGCCCTGATGGTTTTTCAGTAGCCTATTACAAATCTTTTTTAGATATACTGGGTACTCCATTTCTTGCTGCTTTTAACACTCTCGCTCAACCTTCAGGGCCGCCTAACCACCTGTTGGAGGCTCACATTACAGTTATCCCCAAAGACGGGAAGGACAACACCCAGGTCTCCAATTATAGACCCATTTCCTTGCTGAACGTGGACGTCAAACTATTCGCGAAGATCATTGCTAATCGTCTTCTTCCCTCGCTTCCCTCCCTGGTCGATTTGGACCAAGCAGGATTTATCCCTGGTAGAGAAGCAAGGGACAACACTATCAAGGCCCTTAATCTCCATCACTGGCTTCGCAGACACTAACACGCGGGTTTTTTCCTCTCCTTGGATGCAGAAAAGGCCTTTGACAGGATTGCCTGGGATTACTTGAACGCGTCTTTGGTGGCACTGGGTTTGGGTGAGAAGATGCTCAACTTTATAATGGCCCTCTATTCTGCCCCTACTGCCCGGGTCCGGGTGAACGGCCATCTGTCAAACTCCTTTCATTTACGGAACGGCACACGTCAGGGATGCCCCCTCTCCCCACTTTTGTTTGTCCTATCCCTTGAGCCCCTGTTGCGGAAAATTCGTTTTTAAACCCTGATGTTAAAGGAATCACGGTGGCAGACAAGGAATATAAGCTTGCAGCTTATGCGGATGATATTCTTTTGTTCCTGGCGGACCCTCACATCACTCTTCCGAACCTACTGAAAGACTTTGCCCTTTTCAGATATTTGTCGAATTTTAAAATTAATTTTTCCAAATCTGCCGCCCTTAACATTACTTTGTCTGCTGAGCTAGTCTCTGCTTGTGAGGCCCAATTCCCATTTCACTGGGAAAGGGATTCCCTAACTTATCTTGGTATCCAGCTCACCAGCAACCTTGATGACCTTTACGTGAAAAACTTTCTTCCCGCTCTTCGCTCTATGCAAGAAGACCTCAAATAAATGGCACCGTCCTTGTTTCTCGTGGTTTGGAAGGGCAGCGATCATTAAAATGAATGTACTTCCCCGTCTCCTGTATCTCTTCCAAACATTACCAATTCACTTACCTCTTGCTTTCTTTGCTTCTTGCAAAAGACTGTGTTCACTGTTCCTTTGGAGCCACAAACGTCCGCGTATTGCCTACTCCCAATTAACCCTCTCTAAACTTAAAGGGGGTATAGGATTCCCTGATCTTTACCGCTACTATTGGGCGTGTCATCTTTCCCGGATAGTTGATTGGCACGTTCACACTGCCTCTAAAGACTGGATATCTATAGAGAATGCTTGCTCGCCCTTCCCCCTGGCATCGATTCCTTGGCTTTCGCCGAAACACACGCCACAAGTTCTTCTCACCCATCCTTTGGTGGGACCTACGTTAAAAATTTTCCGTTCGGCTTGTAGATCTGCAGCCATTTCTGGCACACCCAACCCCCTGACCCCCATACGCCTCAACCCTGACTTTCCCCCTGGAATGCATAAAGACTTTTTAATGAAACACTGGCCACACAAACAGATCTTAGTGAAACATTTTCTCCACAAGGGCAAGGTGAAAACACTCCGAGAATTGCAAGAAAGCCTGGGTATTCGCGAATTCCCTTTCTGGGTATATTTCCAGATCAGACATTATCTGCTCTCTCATAAACCCCCTCATAACTGGCATCGCTCTCTTACCCCATTTGAATCTGCATGCGCGAAGGCTGAACCGCGG